TTTTTGGACGACAAGTCCCAGAATCCTCATGCCCAGTTCCTTGAGAGACTCTGAGAGTTGTAGTCCAATAAAGTAACTCGTCCAAGTTCTGATAATAACTTATGTAGCCTACACATGCCTGTCTTCAAAACTGTTAATAATGATCCGGTATTATTTTCCTCTCTCAAAACACTTAAAGCAGTGGGATTGTCACCTGACAAAAGTGATTAACACCATGTATGAGTCAGATAAAAAGCTGTGATTTTTTGTAAAATATATAATGAGTACAGAAAATTGATTGCCATAGGATGCTACCATATCCACTTGTTTAAATGGTACTCATACAATAAGGGCAACCTACAACAATAAGACTAATCAGTAATAACAAGAACTTGAAGATATTTTCTGGGAAATAGCTTTGTTTGTCTGTTTGCAGCATAACCAATTGCACATGAACTCCAGGTCAAGAGGTTTGAAAGTGACAGTGCCATTCATGATTAACGTAGGTGGTGGACATTCCAGTTGTTGATCACATTGAGACCTGGCCAATACTGTGAGGAGGTAGATGCAAATGACTTGAGTGTTCAGGACTGTCAAGGCCAACCCGTGCACATACTCCATTTCAAGTTCACCAGTCTCAAACTCTGCCTTTGGTAAAACAGAATAACGTTCCAGACAGGTCTCATACCATGGAGTGTTGGGGCATTCAAGCAGAGGGCTTTACATGGCCCTGCCCCATCAGAGATTATTCTGAATGGAAATGTGAGTGACTGAATTTGGAGTGCAAGTATGCATGCATGTACGTGCACACATGGTTTATGCTCCCTGCTACTCTCTGCAGCACTTTGATTCAATTTCAGTTGACAGCTTGAGGGATCTGGAGAGGCAGCTGCTCTTGAATGAAGGCATACGCAAAAGCACAGAAGGGTTCTTTGACCCTAAGAGCCTGGAGCAACCATAGAGAGAGATGGGTTGCAGCCTACCAAACCACTGCAACAGAGATGACATTTGCTAGAAGCATATCTTCTCTGCACAAAGCAGAAAAGCTCAAGTGGTGAGTCAGTCACAATGTCTCCATTCTAATTTACGAAACACATCTTCACTGTTGTGGATGAAGAAGGAATTCAATAACATTTTTTTTTTACGGGAAGATCGGATACGGACGTTAATGCACACAACTCAGCCACATGTGGATGATCGTTGATATACATGTCATATTCAAAGGAGGATGGGTGGATCAATCTCATTCCATACCAGTTTTGTGTATGTTCAATCACAAGTCCCACATTTCAGTTACACACATTTTCTCTGAAGCAGACATTATTACATCACGGCGGAAAAAAGGAACTGAGGGGAATCTTGGGTGGGAGGAGCATGTGCCTCATGGGGGATCATCCTATAAAATTGCTACGTTTAGCTCTGGAATGCGCCGAGAACGTCAGCGCAGGCGCAGACTAAACCCATATGTGTGTATTCACAGAAGCCACGGAGAAGAATATATATTATTATGGATTTCTGAGCTGGGAGAGTGAGTTCTGCTGCCTCCAGAGGATGATGGAATAGTGGGCAGAACCTCCTCAGTCCATATCCATAGACTCCAGACTAGAAGGTTGAAGCAACTCTGTTTTATTAACTCTTTGGTGGACGGTACAGTACTGGCTTCAACCAGATCAACCTGCTCCTTATCCATCTGTCTGTTGGGGGACTGATTTCCAGGCAATCTTTTCCAGGGAGTTTTGTGTGTCTCTCTGAGCCTCCATTTATCCTCATTGAGACCAATATAATACAAAAACTGAGGAACAGCTAAAAGTCCCCAAAGTTGCCTCTGCCAGCTGGCATGTTGCAATGATCGTTTTTAGAAGCAAGCCACCACTAGTCCTGGTGAGTTTACTGTCCCCTCTTGCAGGCACTGCTGATACTCCCACTATTGTTGATGCCAATGTTTCCAGCACCTCTTCTGAGTCGGGTTGGGATGGGCTGTCCTAACAGCTATGGTGGTTTTTGGTGGCAGCTTGAACATGACAGCAGCTGGAAAGTAATCTGGTCTGTTCTATGTCCCTCCTTTTCCCCAGGATGCACAAAGCTAGACTAAGACCTCTGTCCAGAGATCTTTCATGTAAGTGCATTTTTGTATCTCCCCCATGGAGCAGGCCACAATGTGTTGCTCTATGCCTCCTCTTGCTGTGAATTCCTATTGCCCATCTCACCTTCCTCTTCAATTTAATTCAATCTCAGCCACACTTGGCCCTTCAACCCCCAACGTCTGTCTCCCTCAACTGTCAGCAGAAACCTACCCACCTCCTCCCCCAAGCGTTTTTTTTGGAGGATTTTTGAAATGTCCATCCATGATTTGGAACTGTCTGGATATGAGAAGGACATATTTGAATAACAGTTCTGACATTAGAACAGTATTCATTGTAGGAAGCAAGACGTGCTAGATGTGGTAGTGACACTGTGGGAGGTTAGGTGGTTTCTATTGCAAAGACCTTACTGGGATTTCATGCTAACAATTATCATTACCCATATCTAGAACAAGAAATCAGGGTGTGAGTTCCACTAGGGAACAAAGACTATCTCATTGGAACTGTAGGTTTTCAGACGCTTAATGACTATTGTGCAGAATCACAAACCAATGACCTTGAATTATTTTACAAAGGAGGGAAATGTTTTGAAGTTCTGTCCATTGCCTCCTCTGTATCTGATGGACTGAGCGGGTAAAGATGCCACAAGTCAACTGATCTTTGAAGATGACTGGTCTGCTTATAAAGAACATATAATCTGGACTAGAAATCTGGCAAACACTGCTCTAGTAAATTATCTAACTCTGCAGGAAATTTTTGATTAGCTTGCTTCTCTCCCTTTGGTGCTTTGGCTGTTTCCATAGCAGCTAAATCCTAAGTAAAATGGAGACATCTGGTTCTAACGTAGGTAAAGTTCCCTTGGGGGGAGAAACCAGCTGGATGACAGCAGAGAGACAAAACATCCTTGCAGAAAAGTGAGCAACAGCAGCACCTGAAAGTGACACATATCAGCTGCAGCAAAAGCCCATAAGTAGTAGACAGGACGTTGAGTAGTCAATTAAGGTGGTCAAAGTAACAAGAAACGGGCTTCACATCAAATAGAATGTAATGGCAATGTGTAAAAAAGCATCCTGAGAAAAGAAAACAGTCCAATCAAACCACTTCATTTGCTTCCTCAAACAAGCAGGCAATTCAAAACCCATTCTGAAATTTTAGTTTAGCCAAAATTTGCTAACAGCTATTGAAACCTACAGTTCTGAGACACACTGTTTTCACACCCGCCTTGGTAGGGCTAAACATCTCTATGAAACTACATTTTCTTAATCTTTCTTCTCCTAAGCAGATTCAAAAACAATAAATGGCATCACCCTCCTACCATTTCAGACTGCTGGTTAGGTGAATACAGTTTGAAAACTCATACACATTAAAAACAAACTTTCCCTTATAAATAGAAAGTGGGACTGTCAAGACGGCTGCTAAGCTGGGGCCTTTGGCCAGGCAGTAAATCTTTTTTACCCTGAGGGACATTCAAACAAGTGATTTAGTACCGGAAAAAAACAATCCTATATGCTGTTTGTTCCACATATTTGAATAGGTAAAGGTAAAGGTTCCCCTTGACATTTAGTCCAGTCGTATCCGACTCTGTTTCCAAGCTGTAGAGCCAGAGTTTGTCCATAGACAGTTTCCGTGGTGACGCGGTCAGCACAACTAGACACAGAACGCCATTACCTTCCCACCGAGGTGGTACCTATTTATCTACTCACATTTTTACATGCTTTCAAGCTGCTAGGTTGGCAGGAGTTAGGAAAAGCAATGGGAGTTCACTCCGTTGCGTGGATTCGATCTTATAACTGCTGGTCTTCTGACCTTGCAGCACAAAGGCTTCTGCGGTTTAACCCACAGTGCCCCCACATCCCTACATATTTGAATAGGGTACACTAAATCATTGCACAGTATGGACATTTCTCATGGAAAAAAGGCTTATTTGTATTACTAAACAAGAATGGATATCTGAATGAAATGCATGGCTTACCATGTAGGCATGTGATCTAGATAGGGTGAATAATGCCCAGAAACCCATGAATGAGTCCATATGCCACACGGGCATACAAAAGCCTTTGTCAAGCATGTGCTAGAAAATATGCATTCCTGTCCACAGCAGTCCTCAGCGCAACTGATTACAACTCCCACCACCACAATAAATAATAGTATTCCAAGAACAGAGAACAAGTTCTCAGAAACACAATGCAGCCCTTTTGCTGCTGTTAACAAGATTGTGTCTCATCAATACCTGAATGGGAAACCAACAGAGAACCACATCAATGCTGTTTTGAGATCCATAGTGGAATGTACCAATGGAAAGAAATAAAAGTACAGAAATGAATGAATGAGTAAGATCAGCATGAAGCTGTGACAAATTGATCATCAAGAAATCATAAAATAATACCAAGAAAAAAACACAAGGACCAGAATCCTATCTGTAAAATAATGTAAGAATACACCTGCATAAATATAATGGGTGTTATGCCTAGACAACCGACTGAACAATTCAATTGCACACTTTGTTGAGATTGATTGCACAATGAGGCTGCAGAGGTGTTTTATGAATAGCACTTCCACTTTGGCTTGATTGGAGCTACTCCATGCATAACACTGAGCAAGTGTAGCTGCTCAACAGGATTTTAGCCAGAATCCTATCCTATCTTATTCTATCCTGATAGGATAGGTAGACAAGAGAAAGACACAGACAGAAAGACTGAAGTCTTCTGAACTGTTTCTAGAATGCGTAACACTTTAATAAATTTGTCTCTGACAAATAAATTATATATTATTCTGAAACACACTGTGCATTATCTTTGGACTGCTCTCTTGGTACCGTTTTGTGTTCAGTGCCTCCCCTGATGCATTGAAAAAAGGTCATCATGATCATAATCAAATAATACTGACATACAGAACAAAGATACACCTATACAAGGTTGCTTGTTCCTCCTTTCTTTTTACCTTTGGGTGAGATGTGCCTCCAAGTAATGGTAGGGTCTGGTCTGCCTGTAGCTATGCAGGTGAGACTGACGTTGCCACCTTCATTGATGGAAATGTCTGAAGAGATCTCAACAATCTTGGGAGGTACTGTAATGACACAAGGGAGAGGATGAGAATTAGCTAATTAGGCTGGAGGTGATTCGAATGACCAGGAATCCTGGCGGCAGAAGGTTCTGAACAACAGACAACCCATTGCAGGTTTTCAGAGTAACAGCTGGATCAAGAACAGAGTAACAGCTGGATCAGAGAACAGCTGGATCAGAGAACAGCTGGATCAGAGTAACAGCTGGATCAAGAATGACCTGCCAGCGGTTTAGGCACCCAGTACAACCTCCCAGAATAATAGCCAAAATCCTGCCATGCCTCACCAACTTTCAACCAAGAGCAAGTTTGAGTTTGCATAAGGTTTGTGTAAGTTGCTACAACTAACTATGGCTAACTGATGAGGTGACAAACACATCTCAGTCATGTGCCTGCTCAAGCATCCAACTATGCAGCACCTTATCAACTAGCTGCAATTAGCCATGCCATGCAAACCTTACACACAAATAGGATTCTAGCCAAGAAGTGACACTATACTTTCCATACATGGTTTCACCCATAATTGTTTCCAAGAAGTTAGGAGAGGTAAAAGTAGAGGTATTCCACGTTTTAACCTTTCAAATTTCTTTAAGGTTGACATGTCATATATTAGCTACAGGTCCAAACCAAGACCCTTTCCTGCCCGAGACAGAATAGCAGATGCCACCCCTCCCAACAACTCACTCCCCAATAAATATGCACACAACCCCAAACCACATAATATGGCATATGGGACAGAACTTCCAACAAGCATGTCTTTCTATCTCTGTTGGCGACAAGGGAGGAATGTAACAACATCGTATTAGCTATGTATGCTGGCATAACATAATTGACAGAAATCTTGGTAGTGAACTGCCACAAGTTAGCTCAGTGAACTGGGTATCTGGCAGCAGAGCTGGGGATTAGGAGTTTGATTCCCCACTAGTATAGCCCTAGAGCACAGCCAGACTGGTAGTGAACTGCCACAAGTTAATTCAGTGAAATTGACTCCACACTGTACGTCCTTGGAATATGGCCAGCATAACAGCTTGCTCATGCCTTGAGCACACTGCAGAGTCTTGGAGCACCCCCAGAAGAAGGGGAAAGTAAACCACTTCTAAATAGTCTATACAGGGAATATCATGAAAAGGGTTGTTGTAAGTCAGAATGTATTCGACAGCATACAGTTATTATTATTAATCAGTTAGTTTGTGACTTGGTGCACAATAACAGGTGCACATTCCAATTTCTTAAATTGCAAGACTTTGCCACTGAGATTTATTCCAGTCCATTACACTGGTGAAAAAACTTAAAAGGATTTTGGCCAATGCCTGAATCCACATAACATCATCTTGTCAGTGGTTTAGATCTCTGGCTGTGGAGCCAGAGGTTGGGAGTTCAATTCCCCACTATGCTTCCTTGACAGGGGCTGGACATGATGATCCATAGGGTCCCTTCTAGCTCTGCAGTTGAGTCATATTATATTAGACATATTATATTACACATCTACTTAGCTGTCCAACGCTCTTCAATGGATAGGTGGAATACACATAGTTTATTTAATACATACATATATATATTATTCCTCTGGATTGCTCAGTAACTTGGGTATCTGACTATGAAGCTAGAGTTTAGGAGTCTGATGCCCCACCATGCATCCCATGAGAAGAGCCAACCTGTGTAGCCTTGGACAAGCTGCAAAGTCCCAGAGAACATCCAGAAGAAGGGACTGGCAATGTCTAAATATCCTATACCACAGAAACCCTGGAACGGGTCACTATAACTCAGAGCTGATGACAACATGTTGTTGTTAATGTTACAAATATTATATGCACCTTACCTCTGGGTGAAAGGAAAGAAAAAGTCACCCCAGTACCAAAACAGCAATCTCAAAACATAGCATGCAAAACCATCAGCCAGGAACTAATTCATTAAACAAGCATTAAGCAAAAGAAGGAATTAGAAGCCAGCCAAGGAATTTAACAAAACAGCTAGGGGGTTGAAAAATCCATCAGGTTCATTTTTGTCGCTCAAAATCTCTCAGAAGCTCATCAAAATTCTGATCCTGTCCAAGTACCATGCCAGGTTGGTTGTTTTTTTCCCCCCTCTCTTTCTTGTATAGAGATTTGTATCATTTTGGTACATATAATTTGAGATTGGGATACAGGGGAGGAAGATTTAAGGGGACCTAGGGTCTTTGCATCATCATCTTGCCTTAAGGTCATATATCCCTCCTTCTAGAAATTTCCCCCACCTTCCCCATGTGTCAGGCTCTGGTGCAGACATGAGTTTTTTTTCCGAGGAAGCAAGCCGGGTGCAAAGCGACTGCAGCGACCTTACATGCGCTGCCTCTGACGTGCAGGTAAGTAATTTATTGATCCGTAAAGCACTCCGAGATGCTCAGGAAGGGATTATGTCATGCCAACACTGTGCAGTAAAATAAAAAATGATGGACTTTTTGTGAACACGAGGATGATTTAGGGTTTGTAGCTGGAAGTGTAGTTAAAGTACATTTTAAGTGGAAATCAAGGCGGGTAATGAATTACTCCACGTTTGGAAAGGCTGCTGGGAATTCTTTTTCCTGCCTTCTGATTCAAGAGCTAATATTCTAACTGTACGCTAGAGGACCACAGAGAATCAAGCTGCAGCTACCAGAACATGCTTTGGGGGATGGAGTGGGGAAGGAAGCACAACATGCAGTGCATACAGTGGTTCCATAGGAGTTTAGCCACAACCATCTGTAGGTTGACACAAAGGGTCAGCAATCCCAGCCACCCATTTTTCAATACTTACTGGATGAAGACAACAAAAGATCTGGCACATGGCCATCCACATTAATAATTTTCAGCCACGATAGATGTGGATGAACCCAGTACAGATAGCCAGATTCGGGACAGTAAGCTTGGTGGTGTTCCAAACTCACCAATTCCAGTCCCATCTCAGCTGGCAGGTGGGCAGAAAATGTCCCTTTGATATCCCAAGGGACTCTGTGGCCCTCCAGACATTGAATTGCGTATCCCATCAACCTACACACTAATGGTTATGTATGGAGGGCCACATATCACCCTCCTTTGCCTTTGGGCCTCCTCTTCCTCATGGGCTTCTCCTTGCCATCAAGTTACAAAAAAAAAAGAAAAAAAGGAACCATGGAAGACCTTGTACAATGGTGCCTCGCTTGACGACAGCGAAATCACGGTAGAGCAAAAACGTCATCAAGCGAAATAAAAAAGCCCATTGAAATGCATTGAAAACTGTTCAGTGCATTCCAATGGGCTGAATACCTGCTCATCCAGTGAAGATCCTCCATACGGCGGCCATTTCCGGGTGCCTGTTAAGCGAAAAATGCCTCCTAAAAACAACGGGGAGCCATTTTGAGCAGCCGGCGGCCATTTTGAAAACCCAACGATCAGCTGTTTTGATTGTCGTAATGCGAAAAATCAGTTCCCGAAGCAGGGAACCGATCGTCGCAAAGCAAAAAAACCACAACCCATTAAAACATTGTTTTGCGATCGCAATTGCGATCGCAAAAACATCATCATGAAGCAAATTCGTCGTTATACGGGGTAATCTTTAAGCAGGGCATGACTGTAATTTGACAGTACTATTATTCATTGATGGAAGGAAAATATATCTATATTCCCTATTAAAAAATTCACATCAGGTTTAAAAATAAGTGAAGGTGTAATGTCCTGAATTCTCAGCCCTACTGATTAAAATTGGTTCCCCCTTTGTATCACTCAATTAATTTTTTTGCACTGAGCTAATACATGGTAATAGCATTAATTGCAACTGTTTACATATAAGGGAAAACAGATGTTGAATAAAAATGCTTTAAAGGCCTTATCATATAGATGTTCACATATTTAATCTGGCTTTTTTAAAAAAATTAACTGCAGCCCATGGTGATTCCACCTTACAAGAATCAAATTACTCTTCTGAGTTGGAAAGTGGGACTAGACTGCAGCCTAACCTACACTGCAGTCACCTCCCCCCACTAACAACAATGTGTCATCAAGTCAATTCTGAGTTATTGCAACCCTTTTCAGGGTTTTCCAATTACAACAATGTGTCATCAAGTCAATTCTGAGTGATTGCAACCCTTTTCAGGGTTTTCCAATTTGTGAATACTCAGAATGGTTTGGCATTCCCTTTTTCTGGGGGTGCCCTGGAATTCTGCAGCTCGCCCAAGGCCACCTAAGGAGGCTCTACTTTTCAGAAGGCCCAGGGGGGGAATTGAACTCCCAACCTCTGTTTCCTCAGCCAGATTCCTAAACTAGGGAGCTATCAAGTCAGGTACCCTCCTCAGTAAAACCAGCCGCTGTGCATCCATTTATTGTACACGCTCGGAAAACTGCAAAATCTAACATAAATTACAGGACGATATTTTAACTCATAAAGAATAAAAAAAAAAACAGGGTAGCAGAGGAGATAGGGTGAAGGTTTCAGTTCTAGCTTTCACAGCAAAAGAATGTTAAGTTCTACTTTCTTCTTTACCCTGATCTTTGCTTGGCAGGTTGCTTTAGAAATGTCAGCTGGGATAATCAATTAATTATTATGAACTGGCCATCAATGGATTCCTGTTTGCACCCATCTGAGATGCTAAACTTGAAAAGGTTTGGATCAATCAGCGTCAGGTGTAGGGAAGGAACAATGACATTGTGCCAACAGAGGAAAGAAAAGAGAATGGCAGTAGCAAAGCCTGCCATTAGTTACCCTTTTAATTTAAACCCACAAAGCTAGGATTTAACACGACAGTTATTATATGCTAATTAAATGTCTGAATAATTAATCAAATGAATTATTGAAATTGCCTTTCCAGAAACATAATAGGTATAAGAGGGTCTGTGTTTTGTTTTTGTGTTTGTTTTTTTGAAATATATCAGGGAACACAGACCTCATAAATAAGAAATACTAAATGTAAACTAGATATTATTTAATGTTCGGTGATGATCTTGTCCCAGATATATCAACGTAGTTCATTAATGTGTCGGCATTACTGGCAGGCAAGCAGTGACAGAGCAGGAGAC